GCTACTGTACATGTCAACCTTTATCTGCACGGCTTCTATGTCCACTTTGGTGGTCGTTTAGAATTTATTGGTTTCGTTATTTACTTACGTCTTACACGAATATTCGAATATCAGATTTTTAAAAATTCCGAGCCCTAGTTTGGATGGTTTATATGGACTTCCATTGTGTAGGGGCGTTCGTTTATACTTAGAACAAGTAAACATCAACTACTATAAAAACATATATTTACACTCCCAAACGGTAGACAATGTGTAATGGCAGTTCGTCAGGTGGTCGATCGAGAGAATACATCTGAAATCAATTTAGAAAAAGTAGCTGAGTAACCAGTTCAACAAGAATTAGATTTATGTTATTATTATGAGAATCATTAAAACATGTCAGAATCAGCCACAAGCGCCAAACGTGCCTCAAACAAGGATCGACTCACCTAGAGTGCATCACTTGGAGTCAACAGTTATCTACCTATAACTTAATTTACAGTAGTAACTTTACTCTATCGGAGTATTATCAATCGATCTCTGAACCCCGCAAAACTACAACCGAAGTTGCATCCTGCCACATCTAAACTTGGGTTGTTAAGAGGTATTAAGGGTACGGCGCACGAAATACCTCCCCAAGAAAAACCCTGCTAATCCTGAGTTGTTAATAGGTATTAAGGGTACTGCGCGCGAAATATCTGCTCAGGAAAAGCCTTACTATTCACCGGCATTTATCATGATAAACAGTATCTTAATTGGCCACTAGGTACTGCGGGACATCCACAGCCAGTACCCGTCCCTAACATCATTACTCAAATGACTCAAAACTTACTAAAGTACTGTTGTACGTCTACAGCCAGCACTAGGTACTTCTCTATGAACTTTTATGCTTTTAAATGAAGCTTTAACAGTATTGAACTTTAACTAGACTTTCAAAGAAAACCAGTTTAATATTAAAGAAGATAAATAAATATAAAGACTCAACAGAAGAAAGGTAAAGTGACGTTTAAAGAAAGTGAATGTTCAAGTGAAGTCGAAAAGGTTACTCTATGAAGAAACACTCACTCTTTAACATTATCTTGAATGTTAAGCCAATAAGGACTATTGAAAAGGATACTCTGTGAGAAAACTCACCTGATGTTGATTTTTACACTAACACGAAATCACTGATAATTGCTGCTCTAATGCGAATTTGAACTAACAGTACTGCCCGTGATTTCACCCTTATTTATTGACAGATTCCCACCCCCA